TTTAAATATTCACTTAACTCTTGCCGTAAATGTTAAATTACATGTTTTCATTTCTTCTCAATTTGAGAGTAAAATTTAAATTAAAAAATATGTCAGTATTATTTTATAGTGGTTGGATTATTATTTATTATAATATTATTTTCATACAAACAATTTAAAAAACCAGTTCTTTTCTTTATTTCTGATTTTTTTTTCTTCAGATGAAAAGAAATTTAACTCACCTATTGTGACAAACTCTTCAAATCTTCGAGCCACATCCCCTAAATGTGCATAAAGACCATTTTTGTGTTTCGGTTTGGTTTTGCGAAAAGGAATTACTAATACTCGTTAATAAATGTATCTTATTGAAGAAATTGTGAGAGGTTAATGGAGAGGTGAAAAATCCGTTACCAATTTTTTTATTTTATTATATTTGTTAATGGTTGTTACCATTAGGTTAGATCAGATCATTTTCATTACTTTGAATTTACCGTGGTTTTGCTTCCATTTTTTTTCCATTGACATTTACCTTTCCAAACGTTTAAGTTTATGATATTGTATATGAAATATTTTTAATGTTTTTTTTTTTTTTTTTTCACACATTAAGTATATCATGCATATAGGTGACGTCTCTATTTTATTAAAACATAGAGTCGTTACAAACGAATATCTCAAACCTTATCATCGATCCAAAATCAAAAGAAAATTGCACGAATTCAGTCCGTGTCCTTATCCTTGCACTATTGCCAACCGTACTTCCATAGCATCGATGACTACTTTTTTTTTATTTATTTATTTAATATTGTACAAAGACTTATTATTATTATTTTTTTCTTCTAAAGCATACATTGTGAGTCAACTTAAAAGAAATGAATAAATGTTAATTATTCCTCGATTATATACGTATTGTCTGAGAATTTTATTATGTGGCGATCTATTTTTTATTAAGAGAAAGGTTGTCACTACATGCATGATATATCTAATATGCATGAAAAATTAATTTAAAATATTTCATAAATGATGTCATGGATTTAAACATTCATAGAGTTATTTTCAAATAAAATAAAGGTCGATGAAAAGAGCAAAAACGAAATAACAATAAGGTCAAAGTAATGAAAAACACTCTAAATAACTCCACTATTGGGGTCGGAAAATGTAAACACAAGCAATTATGGTGGGACCTATCTTTTCGTAAAATATTTTATGGCCTTGAACTATACTTTCTAATATGAGCAAAAATTGGATGTGTAGTGTACTCCTCTACACACGGCTCACACACTCGCGCATGGACTCACTAGGTGGGTGTATACGTATCCTAGGCTTGCCCTTCAACTAATGCAATCTCACACTACCGAAACCACGGAGGAAAAGAAGCTTGCATAATATCATGGAGAAATGTAAATATCGTAATGTACGTGTCCATACTCCATAACTGAAAAATATCTTGATGCATGTGGCATATAAAATGTGCACGAGGTTCAGTATCAATTCCTGACATAGGACGTACATATAAACACTTGTCATATCTTCCATAATTAACATACATAACTTTTTAATATCTTATAGGCATTGAGTGAGCGTATTACATAGCTTACCTGGCATGACATAGGGAAGTTCATGCATATTACAACACCGATAACATAACATAATCTCATAAGCTTGGTTCATACAACAATCAAGTCATCCAACCAAGCTAACAATAAAATCACTTGCCTAGTTGGCCTAAGTCGAAATCAATACGATCCCTTGATGCCCTTTAATGCTAGCTTAAACCTACTCCTTCAAATCTAATTACACCGAAGAAGTCTCACCATCATAATTTAAAATTCTAATATGAAAATTGACTCACCTAATTTGCATAAAATAACCTAAACAGAATAAAAAAAAAATGATATGAAAGGATCCGAGCATATCAGACCCAAGCCGGATCAGCTAAGAAACTGAGCTGGAATTGTTAGAAAATGTACTAAATGACCGGCTCTGAACCGTCTAAGTGGAATGAAGCGGAGCAATTATTGTTGACTTAATAAACCAAGAGACCTCCTTTATATATTGAAGTCGAACTCTCCACTTTTTCAACCTAACCGATGCGAGACAACGGAGGGCAAGAATGTCAAAAACTAAGAATTAGTGCCATGACTTTGTTTATTTTCTCAATTGAAACTTCAAATTTTGGCAGCTCTTATTATATGAAGGCCGACAAAGATTCTTTATTTATTTTATTTTATTTTAATAGCAAAAACAATAATTCTCTCTAGAAAAAAATTCTTCTATTTTATAATATAATTTCAATTAATAAATAAATAAATAAATGAAGCTTTTCCATTTCAAAGGCATTTGACTGAGGCAATGCTTAAATTCAAACCTTCATATTACATTTTCCACACTTCGTTACCTGCCTTTGACCTTTTTACCTCACCATCATCAAATCATTTCATATAATAATTCTCAAACAAATAAAATAAATATTAAATTTTAAAAAAAAATATAATTGTCATATCCCGTCATCGTTGTTGGTTGTTGGTTGGAGAGGAGAACGAAGCATCCTTTCTAAGGTTGTGGAAACATTTCCCTAGCAAACGCATTTTAAAGCTTTAAGGTAAAGCCCGAAAAGAAAAGAAGACAATACCTGCTAGCGGTAGGCGAGGACTATTACAGCAATTTATGTTAGTTCGGATCAAAATAATATATGAAATGAATTTAATTCTTCTTGGAAACCTTAGTCAACAAATATGTGAACTTTTTGGTATTAGTGTGTTTATATTTATTTGTTAAATTACACTTTTATTTGTTATCTTTATAAGTGTGTTTATATTTATTTTGGTGAGTGGTTATATAGCTTTACGGAGAGTGTGTTCGATTGACACCAAATTTGACAAATTCTCGTCTTTCATATCGATGAGCTTAACTCTAGAGTCCTACAAGCCGAAACTCATCAAAGTTTTAACTTTTGAGGTTATGACTTGAGACCCTACTCGACCCTGAATTATGATTCATAAAGGAGCCTTACCATTTTGACAACATTGTTGGTTGCATAGTGGTTGACAACGTTAATGAAAACTAGGTAGATTTGGAACAAAGACATAAGTTGAGAGATTTTGTTGGAGAAAAGGGTGATATTGGAAATTTTTTTGAAAGACAAGAATAATAATGTTAAAGGACTTGTGTTAAGAATAATGTGATGGATGGGATGGTATGAAATGAGAATATCATAATGAATTCATGTGATTCAAAAATAATAATAATAACATTTATCTAAAAGAATGAACAAGATGGGGCAGTTCCAAGAGATCACATCAAATTCACATAAGTTTGATGTGTTGATTTATTAGGGAATAAAAAAAAAGTTGTTCATTTCTTCATATTTTTATAATTTTGTAAAAAAAACATGGAAATTCTTAATTCTACCGCCGTAACCTCGAGTTAGGTTTGTTGGATGATGAAAGTCTCACATCGGCTAATTTAGGAAATGATCATGGGTTTATAATCAAGGAATACTATCTCCATTGGTGTGAGGTCTTTTGGGGAAGCACAAAGCAAAGCCATAAGAGCTGCCATTCAAAGTAGATAATATCATACCATTGTGAAGAGTCGTGTTCGTCTAACAAGGTTCTACTAAAAGAAGAAATCATGTAATGAAAAAGGGGTCGAGACTATGCTACTAGAGGTTTTCAAGATTACCACAGACATGTTTTAAATAATTTAAGCGAAAATTCAAAAAATAATGTATACTACTCCCTATCTTTGGATATACGAACTTCCATGGTCTATACTACTCCCTATCTTTAGATATACAAACTTCCATGGTCTATTTGTGTATGAAAGTTTTACTTTTACTTAAAAATTATTCTTATGTTAACTAATCAGAGTGGTGCAGCGGAAGCGTGGTGGGCCCATAACCCACACGTCCCAAAATCGAAACTTGGCTCTAATATAATAGTATATGCATGCATGTGATGACATCATTGATTAAAGGTGGGTGTATACTTTTTTGAGATTGCAAGTTCCTTTAGAGATTCTTTAGTTATTCCAATCAAGCTATGTTCTACCTGTTGGGTCTTTACATGAAGCTTCTTTGAAGAAACCAAAAGAGTAAACAATCTCATATTCAAAGAAGCTTCTTTGAAGAAACCAAAAGAGTAAACAATAGTAAACAATCTCATATTCTTGCAGAGATATATGAAAAGCTAGATCTCGATCTCGTTGTCCTAACGAGATGGAGTATTAGAGTTATAATTTAAACCTAGTTTATGTCCTTGGAATCTTATGAGTCCAAGCTGAATAAACCCTTATTTGGATTAATCCGAGTATCCATATAAACTGTTGAGGATGGATGGATTGATGGGAAAAGACAAGTTGAGGATCATCTAGCCATACATTATTTGTGGTATCATCTTTGATCCGTTGAAGGTTAGATGAGAGTTAGATGAGTGAGAGAGAAGTAAATATTGTACAGTGAGAAAGGACTTGAAAACAAAGGTATTTATGGCCACTCAGTTTGTACCAAAATCTCGATGATTCAAAAAACATAAAACATAAATAGGAATCCAATGCAATTAAACCTTATTCTAAACACTTATTCGAAAGGGCTCCAAATGGGACGTGAGATCCCACGTCGATTGGAGGGAAGAACGAAACATTTTTACAAGGGTGTAAACATCTCTCTAGTAGACACGTTCTAAAAACCTTGAAGTGAACCTTGAAAGAAAAAGTCCAAAGAGGACAATATATACTCATGGTGGGGTGGGGCTTAAGCTGTTACATTATTGATGTGAGATCTCACATCGGTTGGGAAAGGGAACGAAGCATTACTCACAAAGGTGTGGAAACCTCTCTCTAACTTATGCGTTTTAAAACTTGATACGTAATGAACAAAACAGACAATATCTTCCAACAACGGTTACAAATAAAAATGACTTAGGCTTACCATAACCTAAAATAAACATTCATTTTACCAAATCTAAATGTGATTCCACTAACTCTAGAGCATACAAATTGTTACCAAAAGCCAGAAACCCTTGAAAGATTTGTCCACCAAGTCCAAAGAACAAATACTCTTAAGAACAACTCAAAACAAAAACAGGTTAATAAAATTTGCCGTGTAACACCATTCCCAAACAGGTTAATAAGAAGAAATGAAGAGAAACATGAGTAAAGTCCATTTTAAAGTGGTTGAGATAATAAGAGTAGTTGAATTCCAAAATAACTCAGAGAAGGTTCTGGTTGTTGTTTTCTTCCTTAGGGGCCCCGAAAGAATCCAGCCTTTGAAGAGTCAACTGTTCTCAGAGGAAGCAGCAAAGGTGTGTGCAGGCAGCCATGTCTGACTTTCTCAGACAAAATTTTGAGCATCTTTTTGACAGCCTACAATAATGAGACCCAAAACAATTAATTTCTCAGACAAAGCTTAGGCCATTTTTGTGCTAAGAAAGATTAAAAATCCATTGATTGCCTAAGAAACTGATGGTAAAGAAAGAGAAGTAAAAGGCAATTGCACGAGTACAAGAGGTAATAAAGATTTTGTGCAGAGAAATAATGGGAACTGCTTGGACAGTAAAAGTACAAAGTCGGAATCAGGACCTGCAATGGCATAATAAAGAAGAGCTTCAATGGTTAAACATAAGGGAAGGTACAAACTTACTGCTCATAAATTAAAAGACTGTGAATGCAACTAAGATGCCAACATTCATTTATTTCGGGGCCTGGATGATTACAACATCATGAGGGCAACTCATTGCTCATTTAAGTAACTTTCTGCTTTCAATTTTGATATTGTTATCAAGGGTTGTTGTCATTTGTCAGGTTGATCCAAAATGTGAGGTTTATTATATATAGCCCAAGCCCACTTCTAGCATATCCAAAATGCGTTTGCTCTAGGGAGAGATTTTCACACCTCTATAAAGAATGCTTCGTTCCTTTCTCCAACCAATCCCCCCCCCCCTTTTCCTTTGGGCCCAGCGTGTTTGCTGGCATACCGCCTCGGGTCTACCCCCTTCAGGACTCAGCCTCTTTCGCTGGCACATTGTCCGATGTTTGGCTCTTATACCATTTGTAATGGCCCAAGCCCACCACTAGCAAATATTGCCCTTTTTCGCCTTTCCCTTTCGGGCTTCCCCTCGAGGTTTTTTAAATGTGTCTGCTAGAAAGAAGTTTTCACACGAACCCCCCAATCCACCCCCACCCCCTTTGGGGCCCAACATCCTTACTGGCACACTGTCTCGTGTCCACCCCCTTCGGGGCTCAACCTTTTCACTGGCACATCGCCTTATGTTTGGCTCTGAAACCATTTGTAACGGTCCAAGCCCACCACTAATTGATATTGTCTTCTTTGGACTTTCCCTCTCGGGCTTTCCTTCAAAGTTCTTAAATGTGTTTGCTAGGGAGAGGTTTCCACACTCTTATAATGAATGATTTCGTTCCCCTCTCCAACCGATGTGGGATCTCACATGCAATGCCTAAGTCGATTATTCCCAACCCTACAACACTCAAGAGTGAAACCAAGAAGTGTCAACCTACTATCTCTTCTATTTCTTTTGTTGTTTTTATGAGAAATAAAGAAAGATATATAGGAAAAGAACATAAAGAAGACTTATTACAAAAGAATTCTGTGATTATTAGCCTTTCTTCTAAAGCTCCAACCTGTAAGAGCTTCCACCAGCCAACAAATAATCCTCACATCTAATCAAATGAACAATGAAAGAGAAGATGTTCAAAGGCTAAATAGTCCAAGAAGTAAAAATAAACAAAATCTAAGGGACATGGTGATTTAGAAAGAGTATCTAAAAAAAGCACTTCGAATCGCGAAAGCCCCTAAACAATTATTCTTAAAACCTGAAAACAGAAACTCAAACTTCTGCGCAGTCAACCAAAGTAAGAAAGTAATATATCACTGATGAGTTAGAAACAAAGGCAGCTTGGGTCTCAAAATTGGCCCAAGTCTGGAAACTTCTAATAGGCCTATAAAAGTCCACAAAAATTTGATCCTTTATTTCTAGGAAAGAAGAATGTTCATGTCATTTAAGGAAATAGGATGACCATTATAATCTAAGATTGGGAGCCACAGAGAGGACAAACCCTGGCCAACAAGATCCCGATACTTTTGATGAAAAGCATCTGGGGTCATTTGGACCAAGGGCTTTATTGACCAGTGTTCTTTGAGGACCTTGGAGGACATGCCAACATATGATGGGAAAAGGGAAAAGGGAAAAGGGAAAGGTTGGTCAAGTTATAATTAGCCTTGGCCAATCCAAATTGGGTTATTCATGCAAATGACCACCCGTTAAGTAGATCACTGAACCTAGAAGCAATTCAAAATTTCATTATATTACACACAGAACCAGGTCACCATGTCATTTGGCTAAGGAGGGGCTGTTTTTATTACACCCCCTTGGGGCAAGTCACCATGTCATTTAAAAGAGAGCAAAAACTACCCCAAGGAAGCAGCTTCTGGAAAATTAACAATCAAGGCATTGCCTGGGAAAAAACCCCCCAAGGAAGAAGCTGAATTAACTATCATCCATAATACATTGAACCAGGTCAAACATGAGGATGAGCCAACCAAGCCAAAGATACTACATTATAATTATATCCGGAAGCTACATATGCATCCAATATGTGAAAAAGAATGCACTAAACCAGGCTCATCAGTACAGAAAACTAGATTGTTTAGGAAAACAAAATTACAGTTGACCTAACCTCCTAGAAACATATGGGAAGGCCTGGTATCTGGATCATCCACCTCGCATATGTGCACCTAACTCACCAAACTGATCATCTGCTTCTACAGTATCGTCTGAAAGGCGGACTGCATCCAGTTTCTGTTTCAGAATATCTATGGCATTGAGTATCAACTGGGAAGCTTTTATTGCACCGGTAGATTCAACTGTGAAGATAAAACTATCTTCTTTCGCAGTGATATCCACTAGTCCAGCTTTACCCATTGCTTCTGCTTTCTTAATCACTTCATCATCATAAGTGTATGCCTCTGGATCAACCACCAGAACCTTTACAAACAGAATAAGCAGCAGCAAGTTAAACAAGTGAAATGAAAAATAAAAAATAAAAAATTCATTGGCTAAGTTTGGATCACTCGTTTTTCATACTTTCTTTAGCCATAAGTAAGCAAAGTATCTCAGAATTTGGGTATTACTACGATTAAATAAAAAGATGAAAGCCCATCTTAAATTTTACGTCATACATGAGAGGCAGCAAGAATGAAAATTTTCTCCTAATACACCAATTACACCTGAATGAGTACCTCCTTTAAGCTGATTCTTTTCTCGAAGTGAAGATACCGCAAGATACAATGGCTTCCAGTGCTTATAAAAAAGTGACAAATCCAAAAAATCATGACATTGTTAAAGAAGACCTTGCGACAGAATTCCCCAACTTTAAAGAATGGCCTTATAAATGTTAGCCTTAATGAAATTTATATAGGTCCAATTCCCAAATAGCTGAAGCAAATACAGCAAACAATTACTGCCCTATCAGCCTTGTCCCATGCATCTATAAGATTATAGCTAGAGTGCTCCCTGAAAGATTGAAAAGCGTCCTCCCACATAGTATAATGCAATTCCAATTTGCTTAGTCATTGGAATATTAACTCTCACACAACAGTTTACAAAAGCAGTGCCCTTGAAACGATACCAAAGTGCTCTGATACCAAAAAAACGGTTCTTACTTCAATTTCCAAGGGGGTAAACACCATTTAGTATCTGAGCTCTATTTGCCTCAGAGATTTTAACTCTTCTGGTATCGAGTTACTTGGTCCCAAGGGACTTCATATCAACCCTCTATAGGTTTATCAATGAGTGGTGTATTATGTGCATGAAAAGCTCAACTCAAAACCATGTTTTCTACTCATGCTCCAACATATACAAGTTTTATTTTTATTTATTTATTATTATTATTACTACTTTGGTTTGGATAAGCAAAAGAGGGAAAAGAAATTTCAAGCAATGGAGTTACAAAAGACTTTTCCAATTGGTCACAACAGAGAAAAGAGAGACAAAAGAGTAAGGATTAAATTAGAGGTATCACTTTACACCAAGATAGAGTAAGATAAATGATACTATCCAAAAGGTGTTCAACAGGCCTCTCCTTGTTTTGAAAGATTTATTCATTGCGCTCAGTCCAAGTAACCCAAAAGAAAGCTTTGATGAGATTTTCCCAAAGGTACTTCTCTTTTTTGTGTGGATGCCCTGATAACATGGATGCAAGAAGATGTGATTGCCAGGATATGGAATCAACCAATTAAAAGCAGAAATAAGGTATGTCCAGAGGGAGGCAAGACAAAAAATTATTGAGAAGGTGGTCTTGAGATCCAGCATCCCTTTTACACATAGAGCACCATTGGGGCGAGAGAACCATGTGGGGAATGCATTGCTGGAGTTTCTCATGCATGTTGATGGCAAGGCAAGCAACTTCCCATATGAAGAATTTATTTTTTTCCAGGCAGGTGGCTTCCCAAATATATTTGTAAAGCCATCAGGCAAGATTTTCCTGTTGGTGACAAAGTCCATTAGGAGAGACTTTGTAGAAAAAATGCCATCATTTTCCAATTTCCAAACTCATGAAACACAAGTAGGAGAGAGTTGGATAGGAAGGAGATTTGTGGATAAATCAGCCCATTCTGAAATTTCCTCCTCCTTGGGGTTCCTTATTAAAGATAAATCCCAAAAGCTCCTTTCAACACTCCAGATATCATGAATGGAAGCTGCCTTAATGTTTGAGATGGAGAATAATAGAGGGAACCAGTGGGCAAGTGGACCACAGGGCAACATGTCATCATGCCAAAAAGTAGTTTCTCCATTCCCAACTCTATGATGAATATGGACGAAGATGGGTCAAAGATCGGTCGAAGATGAGGTCTTGCATACAGAGGATGACCTTCCAGGAACCATTTTATGAGCGGACCATTAAGGATCTCAGTTTAAGATTGAAATGGGTTGACCCATATTTAGCAATATTCATGTCTCCAAAGGGCTGATTTTTCAAACCAAAACCGCCAAGCCCATTTGGCAAGGAGAGTGTGGTTCTTCTGGTAGATATTTGGATGCCAAGACCACAACTGACTGAGGGAAGAATAATTTTCTCCCATCGGACCTTTATTTTTAATGTAAGCTTCATGTGCTTTCTATTATGGCAGCAACCTTTTTTGGTAATGAGAACAGTGATAGTAGTAAGTGGGAAGATTTGAAAGGACACTTCTAATAATGTCAGACAACCTCCCTTTGAGATATGGACAGACTCCCATGCTTGCAACCTCCTCTCTATTTTTGTGGCGTAGACATTCGGCCAGCTTCCCTTTCCGACCAAACAAAGAGGCCAAATTTTCCAGCTCCTCCTCTTCTAAGTTGATGCCCAAAATCTTGAACTTTTCGGCATTAATGTTTAGGCTTGAAGCCATCTCAAAGGATTTCACTCATGGAGAAAGTGTTGTGGATAGCACTGTCATCAAGGATGGAGAAGAGAACACTATCATCCAAAATTTGTAAATGATGGATACTACGCTCTTCTCAAACCAATGAGAAACCCTTTAAGGACCAATTTTCTGCAGCATGGTTCATAAGGCAAGCCTAAGACCCCTCGATACCAAAATCTTAGCACACGGGCACCCTTTAAAGATGATAGAGTAATTTGGTGAAAATGCAGGCACTGATCTATGCTCTCCGTTGGGAGATAAATCCTTCAACTTGTAGGAGGAGATCAAGAAAGTCCCAATCCACTTTATCAAACGCTTATTTGATGTCCAGCTTAATCATAGCCCCTTTCCACTTCAATCTATTCCAATAAGGCACAAATCAAGGATCTGTCTTCTTCCACACTTCATTTAGACAAGTTTTTCTTCATCTACATGGGTTGTTTTTCTGGGTTCTTTTATTTTTTGGTTAGAAAGGAATAAGCAGCCTTTCTAACAAAAAAAAAAAAAAAAAAAAA